GCACCGTTACGTACATGCAGACATATACATATATACATATATATATATATATATATATATATATATATATAAATATATATATATATACGTTTTACTATTTCTCCAGTGGATTATCTCTTGTAACCAGATACTTTTGTAATACGTCGCAGAATTATTATATCTATATCTTTATTTATGTATATATATATATAAATATATATATGTATATATCTGTATATTTATATATATTTATATATTTATACATATTCATATATATTTGTATATTTATATACATATATGTACATATATATATGAAGGCCCGTACCCTAATTACGATCCGTCAACCAACCAAGAAAACGTCCCAGGACACACGAAGACCACCCAGACCCATAGTCGACCAAGAATCGCTAGCAATAGTGACAGGAGAACCCAGCATGTCCTCCCAGTCTCTTTCTCCGACTGACACCCCACCCCCCTGGTCCAAACACCCCGCCCTAATTTTCTCTTTTGTTTCTCTTGATTTGATGTTCTGTCCGACACGTTAGTTTTTTTGACTTTTGTTCTCGTTGAAACCCCAGTGAGTCGAACGTCTTTTTAGTCGTTTAAACGGAGATCGTTTGTGGCTGCATCTCGCTTCCGGGGGTCCTCCACTCGGCGAGAATAGACGCGATCGAGCGAGGACCCGCCCATTTTTCGGTTTCTCGGGCCGATCGTCTGATCGACTGCGATCGGCTCCACTCGAGAAACGGGGAGAGAAAAAGAAGGAGTGCTCGTCGAGGAAATCGAGGCGCACCGGCACTCGTATCGATCTGCGCTCGGTAATTAGGGGCATCGAGCAGTCGCGGGATTCGAACGTTTCGAAGGATCGATCATGGCCTCGAGAATTGCGAGAGTAGAAAGGCCTCGATCTTCGCGACGAGCACCGTTAAACGAGAGTCGAAATTTGTTGCTCGAAGTCTGTATAGTCGTATGAACTCGATACCTAGCTCCCCGACGCTTTTTATGTGCGCTGTAGACCAGTCTCAGAGTACTCGGTTTTGCCGTGGCATATCCTCCTAGATCCATAGGTGAAGGCGAACGACCGTGTGAGAAGTTAGCGACGACCGATCAGAGCAAGCCTAAAAACGCCTCCCCCGGTTGTTCCTCGAGCAACAGAACGGAACGCGGTTCTCGCGTCCCGGCGAACGCTTTCCGAGCCGAGCGCGCTCCGAGTTTTCCAAATTGCTTCTTCCACGTTCCGACGGCGCGATCGTTAAAAATCAATTCACCGCGGAAGAGGAGATCGTTCTGAAAAATTCTGGATCGAGGAACACGGTCCGGAAGCGCGATTTACGATCGCCTTGCCCGGGAAACGTTCTCGGGCTGTCTCTCGGGGAGCTCGATCGCACTAGAGAAAATAATCGAGAATCGTTCGGGCAAGGTCGATCCAGGGCGAAAGTAGATTGCGCGAGTGTAGAACCGTTTTGATAGTTCCTCCATTTGTGATAGTTGTCCAAAGTATCCGATCGGGATCCCTTCGAGCGAGACACGAACCAAGCTGCTCCACCAGAAGCCCTCTTCAATCACTGTCACTCATTCGCTCATTCATTCCACCCCCGAACTCCTCCGCAATCACTTGCATCCACTTTCTCCCACACGCACTGCACATCACACGTGTGCCCACCCTCCACCCCCTCTCTCAGAAACCACCTAACCAGTCTACTCCGAAAAAAAAACATACACGCAACACAGACCGCGTTAGAAAACGGGACGTTAGAGGGAAGAACGTCGACGAGACAGGGAAAAAGTGGAAAATGTAGATAAAGGTAGTGGGTTTACTGGCTGGGACGAGACCGTAGGGATGCCCATTCCACTGATAATCGATCCTAATCGATCCCTCGTCCGCTTTCCGTGAAGATAGGTCTCGTGAAGAATCGGTTCGACGAATCTCGTCGCTCGAGGAGCACTGTTTCAGGCTGCGCGTTCTATCCGCTCATAATCGATCGCGATTCGCTACGGACAAGACAGCGTCTTCTGCGATCATGTTTCGACGCGATCATAATACACGGTAATGTCTCCCTTACTGACGCTCAGATTGTCCACTAAATTGGACATTTTGGAAAGAGGCGATACGATTATTCGATCCTTGCGGTTCATTTTTATACTTACGAATTATCAACAATTATAAAAACGAGCAGCAAGGCTGGAATAATCGTATCTCCTCTTCCCAAAATGTCCATTTCTGTTTCCTAGCTGAGCGTCAATTACGGAGAATTTACTGTATTTCAGTTTAACCTCTTGCCGTGCCATTCTCTTCACAGTTATGACGATTATAAGTTTTTTGATCATAATAATTTCTTAGAAGAAGAAGAGAATTTGTATTTATTGTATGCCTGCATTTTCTTGAATATTTAAACATTGTCATTACGAATTGTCAACAACTATAAAAACGAGCTGCAAGGCTCGAATAATCGTATCTCCTCTTCTTAAATTGTCTATTTTTGTGCACAATCTGAGCGTCAATTAGGGAGACATTACTGTATACTTCTAGAATCTTAATAAACTTTCATAGACGACGAAGTTGCGGGACAATTCGAGCTTGTAAGACGTAGCAGGAGCCCAGAGCATCGGCCAGTTAGCGCACCCTGGTCACAAAGAGTGCCTCCTAAACATACCGTGCCACGTAAACAGTGTCTCCTCTCGACCAGAAGCGTCTTCTTCAGTCAGTTTTGTTGCGACTTTCAGTTGGTCGCGAATCTGAAAAACGGCTCAGCCTACCCTCTTCACAGAGAGACCACGCCACGAACCCCACCACCACCACAACCACCACCACCACCATTATCACCACCACTACCACCACCACGATCACAACCCACCACAACTAACCCGCGCTCTAAACGAGCGTCGTCGGTCCTCTCGCAGAGGGCCGCGCTTGTTAGAGAGCGACGGGTGGCAACACTCGCACGCGACTACCCGACACGTAACGACGAACCGTCGATTAACACGATCGATTATTGGGCATCCCTAAACCTACAAACGCAGGGTCGAAAGCGGCTCGCGTTCACGATCAAGCAGAAAATGAAGATCATCCAAGAGATCGAACGCGGCAAGAGCAAGAGCGACGTGGCGCGCGAGCTGGGTCTGGCTAGCAGCACGGTGGCCACGATCTGGAAGAATCGGGAGAGCATCGCGGAGAGCTGGAGGAACCGCGACATGATGCAACACGCCGACCCCGAAGACGGGAAGAAGTCTTCGTCGGCGGGCGGGCTGCCGTCGGGCTCGACGGCCTCGAGCCTGGCCTCGGTGAGCTCGTTGCCCTCGTTGCCCCCGTTGCCGGCCAGCACGGTCCTCGGCAACGCGAACACCCCGAGCACCGCGGCCCCGCCATTACCTGCCGCCGTCGTGGTGCCGCCGCCGCCGCCGACGGTCCAGGTGGTGCCGCCGCCCCCGCCACCGCCGCCCCTAACCCTGACGACCGCCTCGACCACGGCCGCCGTCTCCTCGTTGTCCTCGTTGTCGTCGTTGTCGTCGTTGTCGTCGTTGTCGTCCTCGTCCGCCCCGTTGCCGTTGACGCAGTCGCAACCCACCACGCAGTCCACCACGCCAATCTCCAGCACCGCGTCCACAGGCACCACCACCACCAACGCCAGCATGGACAATACCCAGCAGGCCCAGACTCAGACGCAAAGTCAGGAGCTTCTGGAGGTAAGATCGTCGTATTGACGCCTCCTCAAAAAAATACCCCCTCAAAAAAAAAAACTCCATCCCCCCCAAAGAGACCCGCTATGTTCGGACACCCTCGGCTTGTTGCGTCCTTCACGGACCAGAGAATCCATCCAGCTTGGGCCGAGGATGCGGGCATATGGGGGTCGCTGATGGAACCAACGAGAATCGGCGTCGATCCGGTGGCGCTTCGATGATTGACAAATTGGAAATGTCCTCGGATATGTAATACCTGCGGTATTTTGTATACTTGGAAGAGAAGCAAATGGATTTGCAGAATCAATGGATTGTCGATTCTCCGCAATCGGTACAGCTCTTTTGTCGCGAGGCAGTTGTTGACGAGCCCGACACACCCAATTCGCAATGCTCTCGTGTATATAGTCCGATGTAGAGAGAAGGGTCTTCTTTTGAGTCTGTGGGACCCATGAACAACCAGGTCGTTTGCCAAAAGAAACGTACGTATGAATCAATGTCCATAGAACGCCGAAAATCTTTGCTTCTCACAAATGTCCAAAACCCAGACAGTAGACAAATTAACGAATATCGGTGGGCTCTCGAAAAGTATTATACCATCCGATAAGTTCCGATAGCCGTGCTTAAGATTCGAGCGAACAAATATCGAAGAAGAACCACCCCTGAGAACCGACCTCGCGCGACGTCCATCAGGGCCGTGACCATCCGCCGTATCCTCCCCAACGGTTGTTCTCTCGACGAATCCCATTCGAGGAGGAATTTTATCGTCTCACCTCTGCCTCGACGGTTCTCTAAGTCGCGAGCCCCGCCCGCCCCGAATCATCATCATCATCATCATCGAAACCCTCATCGACTTCATGCTCACTATGAACGTTGACTGTTTTCTATCCCCCCCGCGATTCATCGGTCCACCGTTTCTCCCAGCTCCGTCTTTTTATTTCGTCTGATTTCCATGAGGACTATAAAATACGATGGACCTCTCGAGGTAAGACTACGATTGCCTGGTTTTCTATGTTGTCCTCCATATTTTGCGACTCGTAATCCCGATACAACCCCCGCCCCACCGCCCAACCATCTCCCGATTCGCTCATTATAACTCTCACCGAATGGATTAACTTTCACTGTGAACCAACAGAGGTAAGATATACAACTCTAGTCATTCTCTCTCTCTCTCTCTCTCTCTCTATCTATCTATCTCTCTATCTTACATTTTTTTAAACGTTACATCTCATGTCAGTTTCATATGTGTATGTGGCCATCAAACATTCTGCGTGAGACCGATCACATTCGTCATTTTACATCAGCCACTACTCCCCGCCCGCCCCTCACCGAGTCTCGATCTTCTCGAACGCGGTTACAGAAATCATTTTCCCCTTTACCACATCGTTCCGACCGTTTCGTTTCCGGGAGATCCCTTTCGGGGATCCTCGTCACGGGTTCTTTCACTTTGTTTTCACGCGCGTCGATTCCTTCAGCGACATATTTCTTCCTTCGAATTTGCGTCTCGCCGATGAAAGAAGCTGCGAAGCGAGCAAAAAATCGAGTGATTTTTCTTTTTTTTTTCTTTTGTTTTGTTGGAGAACTAAGAAATTCGGCGGCTAGTTTCACCCCCTCGGAGAGAAAAAAACAAACGAACTTCTTCGTCGATCACGAAAGAGGACACATCACACGACACAGGCGCGCCACGCATAACAAAACGCGCACGCGGTGCTTCGTAGGAAACAAAAAAGAAAACGATGGGTGATACCACTTAGAAATGTTAAGTCCCTGCTGATCGGCACGGTCGAGGTCCTCTTCAAACGCAGAATCGAATTGACGCTTGACAGACGCTTCGTTCCGCTGTCTATTATTTCATTCGCGCATCGTGGATGATGCTCTTGCTGTAGAAAATGATTTTCTAGATCGTTCGCTGTTCTCCTACGCGAAGTACAAAATGTCGGTGTTAATTAAGAGCCGAGGTCGTCGAACGAAGGATTACAAGCTCGCCGATTGCGTTTTGAAAATGACACTCGACCCGAGTCGATCGATGCAAAGGATCCGAAATGAGACAACTAGCGAGCTCTTTCACGCAAGACACGCTTAAAGGTCCCGCGAATTTTCGCAGAGTATATTGACCGAACGAAAGTTATTTGTTGACAATTCGGAAGAACCAAGATCCCGATAAGATATTAAAGCTCCGATAAGATTTCGAAGTTCCAGAGGAGAGATACGCTCGTCTGCCGTGAAGGAGCTCTCGAGAAGTCAGAAGTATAGCGATCGATGCTGACACACTCTGAAAATAGATTGGCAAAAGATCGAGAAAAGTATCTGCGCATCCAGTAGGCCGAACAAATGGTAATACCGACTGTCGTAACGCTATCCTGTGCTTCTCCTGTCACTATACAAGAAATAACAGCTAGCTACATGATTATCCAGCATGCCGTAATTATTATTTTTCCGAGTTTTTCGGGCGTGTTCCACGACGTATCGACGTAGGAACACCGCTCTGCCGGCGTCGTGCATCGCGAGGACCGCTTTCTGTTTTCCTTTTTTTTTCCACGCTCTCTGTTTTCGTTCTTCTCTGGCTATCGGCGATGATCGAGCATAATCGCGGCCGCGCGAACACTCTCAAAGCGAAATCGGAGTTTAACCGATCGATCGCGCGCCGCGCGCTCTAATTATCGCTATTACCACCATCACCCGCTGTTATTAATATTATCACACACGGAAACCGCCGCCACGATCACGTTCTCTCACAGCTGTTCGGATCTCTGCGTCACGAAACAACTATCGGCTTTCAGCAATTGATATATAACACACTGACAATACACATAGATTATACTATGTGCATAACCATAAAAGGCGAGTATTATTCTGCTTGGCTCCTGCATGCGCTGATTATCTCTCTCTCTCTCTCAATCTCTCTCTCTCTCTCTCTCAATCTCTCTCTCTCTCTCTCTTTCACGATATTTTACCACTTTCTACGGCTGTGTTTTCTCTTCTCTAATTTACCGTACTCCCCGATCTTTTTTCTCGTACACTCTGGTTTCATTGTAATTTCAAACGTTTTTCTGTATAAAATGATGGTGGTTTATACATATTTACATATACATCTATATGTATGTATATTTCTCTTTATATATTCTCACTTTGTATTTCTATCTCTATATCGCTAGATATATATATATACATATTTATATGAATATTTTATATATTTCTCTGGTAGTTGGTCAAAAGCTTTGGTTTTCACGAACTCTCTTTGTTTCCTTCCGTTCATCGTACACACTACACAACATTGTTGAACAACTCGTCGATTGTTCCACGGAAACGGAGAATCGTTTTTTTTGTGCCGTCTCACTTTCTGCTTGGCTGCTCTTTTTCTCAACATTATGTATAATATATCACGAGGTTTTTTATGACAGCATGCCGATCTCGCTACCTGTTTTTCTCTCACTCTCTCTCTCTCTCTATCTCTTTCTCTATCTATCTGTCTATCTCTCTATCTCTCTTTGATGGGGTGTACATGATTTTTTTGGTGGGTGGGAAGGGCTTCTCTTTGTTGTGTCGTTCAATCGAATTGTTACTCGCCAACAGGACCACCCTACGTTGCCAAAAATCGTTGTTTGTCGTAGTCGAGGGGAGACAGCGATCTTTTTAGCCACGGTTCCCGATCGATCCGCGGATCGGGAACACGAATATTTTCTTTAATAGAGTTTTCTTTTCGTTGTTCCGCGGTAGAGTATGACAACGTCACTAGACATCCTTAGAGTAGTGCTTGTCACCGACTCCGCTGACATAGTCGCGCTTCTTCTACACGTTGCTTTCGGATCACTACACGAAGAAGTCGGAGATCAGAATTCGAGAAGTTATCGTCAGGATCTACAGATATCACGAAAGTTTCACCGACTACACATACTCTTCGGTTTGGCCGCGAAATATCGCGATCAGGGAACACGCGAGTTTTTGTCAGTTTCTTTTGTTCGTATCGAGACGATTTTCTCCGGCAAAGAAATCACGGTGTTCGTAAGTGTTCGAAGTGTAGCTCGGGAAATCGTCAAATAACGCTTGGATTTGTTCTAGAGAATATGGTCGCAAAAATTTCAACCGATAGTTACGTTGATAAGTGCGCTATAAATTAGTCGCCTGTCTTTGTTCCGTTTGCAACATTAAACGTTGAGAAAAGCAATTCGAAAGCACCCAAGAGATGCACAGTGTTATAGCATACGGGAAAATGAAACACGAGCGAAAACATGGCCGAACGCGTGTTGAGCGCAAAGATGGCGGTTCGCCACGCATTGAAGTCGCCGGTGCAGCGTGTTTACGCCACGTTCTCGATTATGTTACATTCGAGCAAAGCTATGCCCGCCCGATCCAAAATTACAGTCTGCCCCCTACACGTTCCGTTAAAAATTGTTAAATAAAATCGTTTTCTCAAGGCCCTCCGCAATCGCGTTCAAAGCTACCTCTAAAATAAATCCCTTTTGCTTCGAAGAAACTCGAATTCCTGACGACCAAATTCAAGGATCGGTATTCCTGTTTTCTGAATCATCGATAGATCGATCGTATCGGTTAGTCGCGATAAATGTCGAGCGTCGGGACGACGAAAGAATAACTCGGAATTGGCCGGAACGGCAGGCTCCCCGCGTCAGGGCGAAAGATGCAAACGAAAGAAAGCAAAAAAATTCATTCTGTAAATTTGCTCACGGAATTGATATTGATGGATGTGAGTGACGTGTGTATATGGCATTGTGCGCAGGCCCGGAAAAAACGGCAGGAAGAGCTGGAGAAGATACGGCTGGAAGAGCAACAACGGAAGCAACAGGTAATCCTAAAATCGTTGTTACACGCACCCTCGGTCTCTCTGTGTCTCCCCAGCCCTCGCCGCGCCGCCACCGGTAAAATAAAAATTATCGAGAAACTCGGCCGACATATTTTCGCGACGCTCGCAAATGTTATTCCGCCGGGGGAATTCACTTTAGACGTGTTATTCAATTTGCGCTCCGCCCGCGCGAACAAATTGCATTTCCCTTTGCGACGGGATATCCGGTTTTCAAATTATTTTCAATTAGAACTGAATCTATCCCGTGCGAGGCGCGTTACCCGATTGTCCGGGAATTATCTCTTGATCTTTAATGCGATCGCGTCGGCGGTTCAAAGCGAATCCCGTTTCATCGTTACCTGCCTCGAAAACATCTCGACTCGACAAATTATTAATGCACCTTTGATCTGCTATTCTTGCGCTTTTCCATCAACGCGTTGTCGTCGAGTTCTCGCTCGTTTAAAAGTCATGTTGATTCGCAGCGATTTCTGTGCGCGCGAACAGGGGAATTCCTTTGTTAACCCTCGCGCGTTCCTCGGTGTAAAAATTCGCACGTTCGCTGTTTCTTGGACACTGTAAAACCTTTGGGAGCAGAGATTCAGACGCTACGAATGCACGCATGTGGTCTTAAAATCTCTCGTGGAAGTGTTCCCGAAGAGCGTACGAGGGTTAAATAGTTGATAAATCGAGAAAATTGAAGTTCGCGCTCGTTCGTGGACGATGTTCGAGGCGTCACTCCCACGATTAGATCGTTCGATTATCCGCGTCGGAAGCCCCGGTAAACGCGAGTCGCACACGCAGTGTGGTAACGATGATGATAAACCGGAATTAATTCTGATTTCGCAGGAACGAGAACTGAAGCGGCAACAGGCGGTCATGTTGAAGGAACAGGTGAGTCCCATGGATCACGACAGCCCCTAGATCGTGTCATTGCTGTAGACTAGACGGTGTGCGTGTGTGTATTCCGTAGAAATATTAGCTTTCGTTTCATTATCTCCATCGCTTTCGTTCATCGTTTCTCGTACTAATCTACGCGATATCACAAAGTCCGGCTGATTTACCTTCGCATATCTCTTCCGGCACGGTCTCATCCGCGATTATTATAATATACTCGAATAACCATTAACGAATCCATTAACTGTTCCCAGCGGCACGACCGCCGGGAAACGCCGCAGCCTATTTCTTTCGCGAACCTCTAATTACACCGGGACCGCCGCGTGCATTCGTTTCTAGAACACAAAGCTATGCGACGGTGAGGAGATCATGATATATTGCGTTTCTCGATTGTACTCTCGGTTTATCTACAGATGTACGCTCTCTTCCCTCGTGAACGATCGTGTTCTACCTACTTTCTCTCGGTTTGTATTCAATAGATATGCTCTGTCGAACTTTTGGTCAAACGTGTTCGCTTCTCGTTCTACAGGGTGTCCCAAAAATGTCTCGCAATCCGAAAGTGGCGGGTTCCTCAGGTCATTTGAAGCAACTTCTTCCTTTACAAAATTTTTCTCCGAGGCACCGTTAACGAGTTATTAACGAAAAACAGTGACCAATAAGATTCGAGTACGACTGACGCGAGGCGGCCCAGTCATCCAGCGCACGAAGCCCAGTTCCACTCGTTGGCTCGGTCGCCTCGCGCCACTCGGTCGCCTCGCGCCAGCGAGCTGGGATTCGACCGCCTCGACCGCTGGCGCCGTTGGCTCGGCCGGCTCGCGCCAGTTGAGCTGGGATTCGACCGCTCGACCGCTGGCGCCGTTGGCTCGGCCACCTCGCGGCAGCTGATCTCGCCTCTCACTGGTCACTGTTTTTCGTTAATAACTCGTTAACGGTGCCTCGGAGAAAATTTTCGTAAAAGAAGAAGTTGCTTTAAATGATCCGAGGAACCCACCATTTCCGGATTGCGAGACATTTTTGGGACACCCTGTAGTCGTTGCTACGTTTGCTACTCGTGTCATTGGTTACGAACGTAGATCTCGCGTTCCGACGGAACGAGTATTCTTTCGAACGAGTTTTAGAGGCTTCATGGAAAAGGAATTGTCCCGGCAGAAATGATGAAAGAGTGGAGATTTTACGACGAAAATGATCATTGTAAAGATCTTCGTGCAAGATCGAAACGGCCGCTGTTTTGCGAGTTCGAGAAGCAACGGTCGAGGATAACACGAGAGAAGCAGGAGCATAGTCTTAGTTTGCCCGTTTTACAAAACGTTTCAACGAAATCGTTCGCGACACCGTGAAAGTACCGATCGTGGGGGTAGTTTGAGCACTGGTGGACTGTGGATATGTTTTGTGCCGCAGATGTACATGCAGGAGCTCACCAAGCAGCGCGAGATGCTCTACACCGTCGAGCTGGTATGTCTCGTACCCAATCTAGTTTAATAAGACAACCTCACTAAACGGGTAACCGTGTCCAGCGAACCTTAAACTGCTTGCGCCGAACCCCTGTCCCGTTGACGATCACTAGATTCGCTGTCCCTCGATCGAACCGTCCTCCCAAAGTCACAAGACCAACACTCGTTGTTTTATCTTGCCACACGATCAATGGCGTCTATCGATCGACGATGGATCTAATTATCGACAACAGGATGGGGCGAGACAGAGACAGTTCAAAGTTGCCACGATCAGCGAGGCTATCGCGTCGAAGTCGATCTCTCGTCGAAGACGTAACATTCTCGTCGATCTTCGACGAACGATAGCGTACTCTGCTGATTTTAATACCTTCGTCGACTCGTTGGCTGCCGATTGAAGCGTGTTCATCGAGTTTCCAGACCGACATTTGGTTTTCGGAAATGTTCCATCGGACCTGTTGCATCGCTTTCCGAATCGACGTCGAAATTCGTTATTAGTCCTTGGACGACATTTTTGAGTACTTATTACAGCCATGGCTGGGTCCAAATCTTTACGATTGATATTCGTTTGTATATGTTTAAAACTGTGTTTTATTTAGATCCAAGTTAACCCTTTGCAGTCGAAGCTATTCTAATTCGAAATTATATGATTCAATGCACTTTATGCATACGAAATCGAGCCTATTGGAAAGTGCGATACTTGCAGTTTTAACAGTTTTTTTTTTAATATGACAACAATATAGAACGATTATTGCGAAAAATGGTATAACAATTTTTATTGGCTTCTCAGACTTGCCGCTCGAGTGCAAAGGGTTAATCCTTTTATTCGACTCAATATCAATAGCTGATAATTACAAATGACTGCCACACAAAATTAGGATTTAGATAAAATCTTTGTAACGCCGGGTCAAAATGGACCCGACGCCCGCGAATCGAGGGTTAATCGATTTGTCTGTTCGATTCAAGTCGAAATCTTTTCCGACAACTCAGCGAACGAGGGACGCGATGAATATACAGGGCGACAGCTTGGCAATCGGCAGCGTGCGAGTGTTCGATCAGACAAAGCTCTAACACAACGTACAATTCGATGATTCTCACAATCGGATTTCGCACTGATAACAATTATTCGAAGGAGGTTGTCCTCGTGACTTCCTCGAGCAGCTTCAGCCACATTAACATCCGCTTTTCGAGATATCCACGTTCACTAACCAGTAACCGCGCGGTGACAATACATGTTCGTGACCAGTCATATATATGCATCGTAGGCGTTTCATCTCGCTTCGTTCACACCGATCAAAGTGTCTCACGTAATTAACGTTCGAAATCTCGCCGCACAAACTAGTTTGGACGAAGTTCTTCTGTCATTCGACGAGCCTTGTCATCCCAGTCGGTCATTCCTGTCTTCGTTGACTCTATGTCTTTCATGTTTATAATTATGTACAGGGTGTCCCAGGTTTTAATGTTGAAACTTTGTTAGTGTATTCTATGGCACAAAGTAGGAAAAAAATGTTATGTAAACATAGGTCATATAGAGCTTTATTAAGAAGTTATAACAAAAATTCAGAATAGGG